TGACCAAAACAAACTTTAAAAATGATGTTAAAACACAAAAAAGTAAATTAATTTGGTCGTCTACAAAGATACTACGGCTATTGAACCTTTCGAATAGAGCCGAGCTATGCGGGTCGCCATTTTGTTTTGCCCGGAAGTTCTCGCGCTACTCCTCTCTCTTTCTTTCTCTCTCTCTCTGCCCACAGACAAAATTGCACGCTTTTAGGCTAATAGTAGTAATGGAATGTTTGTTCGCGGCAGATCACAGTGTAGAATTCTGTGGTTCATTGTGTTGAACGCAAAACTGGTTGATCTAGATCTAGGATATAACGGTGAACGCACACCGGGTGAGAATAGCCAAAAGACTCGCCGGCGCTATTCTCACCCGCAGTAAGAATGGAGGTGGCCTTTAGTGATAGTGATAGAGGCAGAGGCCTAATTAATAATAGCCTAATACGGGGCACTGGTCCTGTACAATTTTGGTCCCGTTTGAGAATACTCGTTTTGACCCCACCAACAATTACTTCTGGTTCTAAACGATTACTTTTTGAAGCGTGCTGATAGGCCGAGATTCTAGGCCTCTATCATACACTCTATGTCGAGTAGCCAATCCACCCTATATTTGCAAATCAAATTATAGTCAACTTCAGGGGGGCATGCGCCCCCCCCCCCCCCATTTTTTGTTAGATGGTCCCAGGAGGCGGGAGGACTTCCGTAATGAGCGACCACTATGATGAGACAGAGTAGAACAGAGAGGGGTTCTAGGGATAAGGGTAGGGTTTGTGGTAGGGTTAGGGTTTAGGAAGTGGCTATCCTCACCCCGGGTGAGAATAAAAATACGATCGACCTCTCCCCCCAGATGAAAATTGCCAGCGTTGGCTATTCTCACCTGGTGTGAATCAAGACCTGTTTTTGATCAGATAGACCAAAAGAAAAAAAATGACGTTATGATAGCATAAAAAGAAAGCTAATTTGATCGTGTCTACTAAGAGATGCTATGGCTATTTCACTTTTCTAATAGAGCCGAACTACGCAGGTCGCCATTTTGTTTTGCCCGGAAGTTCCTGCGCTACTCCTTCTCTCCCCCCCCCTCTCTCTCTCTCTCTCACTGCCCACAGACAAAATTGCACGCTTTCAACACTTGTAGAGCGATGGAACGTTTGTTCACACCGGGTGAGAATAGCCAAAAGGCCTGCCTGCGTAGGTTTGGGGTATGGTTAGGGTTTGGGGTAGGGTTAGGGTTAGGTCTCTAAATTGTGTTTGTTGAAGTGGTCGCTTGTTTTACGGAAGTCCTTCCGTGGTCCGTGAAACCCCCCTTGCCTTGTTATGTATACAAGTGAAATTTTACTGCTCATTTTGTAGGCTAGATCCCTACTGATAAAACAATGGTACCGAATACAAATTTATATTTAAATCAGTATCGATATCCAGTAGTCTTTGCTTTTGTATGATTTAGTGCAAGAGAACGTAACCGCAGTTGTACAGGAGTGCCTAATAAGAGGTGCCCATTGGGAGATCGGGTCTGTTTGGGCCGGTTTGCTAGGCAGATTGAGGGCGCAAAGACAAAGTGGCTATTGTCACTGTGGCATACAAAAGCCAATTGCGCCGGACTAGTCGACTCAAAATTTCAGGCGATAAGTAGAGAGATGGCCCCTGACCCGATCCCATCCCCAATGCTAAATGGGCACCCCGTATTAGGCTAGGCAGGCTAAACCCTATGTCTAGAGAGGCAGCTTAAAACATTAAATTCAAGATTAAACTAACTACTAGACTCTATATCTAGGTCTTGTGGTTCCAAATTATCATTTTTATGTTATCATTCGAATATCTATCTAGACCTTTCGCGGACTAAAAAAAGAGGTGAAGAGTTCCGTATTGTAGCGACCAAGTCATGTCCATGAAATGGACACTTGTAAGAGTAAGAGTATCAGTGGCAGTATGGTTGACGGTTTGGGTTAGGGTTGTGTCTTCTTTTTTTGTTAAGGGTGGTCACTTGTTTTTATGGAAGTCCTGCTTCCCCCCCAAAAAATATGCGAGCCTGCATCATGATCATTCATCATTTTTATGATCTTTGTGTTTTAAGTTTGCAGTGGCTACATTCAGGGCGCCGTGAACGTAGTCTGCAGGCTACATTCACGGTGTTGTGAACGTAATAGGCAGGCTCTGTTAACGGCGCCCTGAATGCAGTTTGCAGGCATTGTGGCACCGTTGAGGCAACGTTCATGATAGTCAGTGACGACAGTGACGTATATTTTAAATATTTTGGCCAGCTTCAAGTGTTTCATCCCATGAGATGAAGGAAAACGATCCAGTTATTCTCGATCGATGGATCGGCCATTCATCGTAAATTCCCTAGTAAACACTTAGCTCTGGCTCAGAGCTTGCCAGTGTAAGGGAAAACGACAAACTCTCAATTACGCAACTACGCATTAGGATATTATAATTATCTGACAGAAATGCATACACGCCTACCAAACTGTTTCAATTGCCTTGTCAGTTGAAAGCGTGCAGTTTTGTCTTCCCACAGTGTGTGTGTGTGTGTGTGTGTGTGTGTGTGTGTGTGTGTGTGTGTGTGTGTATGTGTGTGTGTGTGTTCGTGTGTGTGTGCGTGCGTGCGTGCGTGCGTGCGTGTGTGTGGAAAGAGGGAGAGAGAAGGGGAGGGAGAGACAGACAGACAGAGACAGAGGACTATAGAGAGAGAAGGGGGGAGGGAGGGGGAAGAAGAGAGGAGGAAAGAGAAAGGGGAGAAAGAGGAGTGTTTGTTATATAATATAAGAATAATTGATTCCAGTCATTTTCTCTCTGCGTCGGTTCCCAGGCTGACCCGGTGCAATACAGTCATATAAATTGTACACATTTTATAACTAGTCCCATCTTCCGAATCCCACCTTCTGTTTCCCATCTCTCACCTCTTGTTTCCCGTGTACCGTATTCCCATATCCCGACTTTAATTCTGTCAGGGCGCTTCGTTTTCCTTCATCTCATGTGATGGGACGCTTGAAGCTGGCCAAAATATTAAATACGTCACTGTCATCACTTACTGAAACCGGCTGACTTCAACTGACGGTGGATGCTCCTCCTAAGCGAAGCCTTAGTGCCGTGAATGTAGCCTCAACAGCGCCTGCAAACTGCATTTAGGGCGCCGTGAATGAAGCCACTTGGTTTTAAGTTTACTTTTTATTAATTGTATTTTGTGAAGAATCTAGATTCTTGATACTAGATCTATGAGGGGCATGCAAAAGTTTTTTGGAAGAGGCTAGCCGTCCTAAAATACGGCTAGACTGGCAGGCTAGCTGTACTTATATGATGGCTAGACTGACAAACGGCAAAAAATAGGCCTACTGAATTGTAAAAACATTTTTAGTTTGCAATACCTAAAGTGTTTTTGTATTTGTATTTGAGACTAGACCAAAGGGTGCCTTTCTGACAGTGCATGCGTATTTTAAACCTGAATAAGTACTAATGAAGACCTGTGTACTCAACAGGTTTAGAACTAATAGTGCCTAAAATAAGTACGGCTAGACTGACAGGCTAGCCGTACTTAATTATGATGGCTGAATTGTAAATAAAATTTTTGTTTGCAATACCTAAAGTGTATTTCAGACGAAACTAAAAGGTGCCTTACTGACATGCATATATGTATTTTAAACCTGAATACAATCAAACCTTTCTAAACGGAAACCTGTCTTAAACGGAATCTCCCTGCTCCCCCCTTGATATTTTCCTCTTTAATTACGTGTATAAAACGGAATCCTGTCCAACGCAGAAACAGAAAGAAAAATCCGCTCCCTTCTGAGGGTTTTACCTGTCTAAGATGGAAAATGCTTTGCTCGCTCAGCCCTGATTTGTAATGTCAAAACTCGCAAGTTGGATACCGCTGGCTCCAAACTTAACACCATGCTGCCGGGCGAGGAAAAGGAATATTGGTGCTATTTGGGGGTAGATGTTACCCCATCCATGTGAGCCATCATGAGTGATGAAGATGGTCAGGATGGTGTGGGTGTGAAATCTCTCGAATGCCAGTGAAAATGTTCGAGTGGCGCTCCAGCATGGAAACTCAATGGTTGTAGAGGCAAGAAGTGTGAAATTAATTTTACCAATGTCTACCACCCTGATCGTACAGCCAGCCGAGAAAAGAGTTCCTCAAATCGTTGTTACATGGCAGTGAGGGGTGACATTGGTTGACTGTGCTTATTACACCAATGGGTGGGACTAAGGGTGGAAGCAAAGGAAATGTTCAAACGTTTCTATTTTTAATAGGTCAAACAGTTGTCCTATAAAATGCAAGCACTGGTGGCAATTGGATAAAAGTAAGACTGACGTATGTCATTATCAGAGAGGATAACAAATGAGGAGAGAGGCGTGAAGTTTTGACCACTTGTGACTGCTGGCCGAATGTTCAAGCGACCTTTGATCCCACCGGCTGGGCCTTTGACCCCCCCCCCCCTTACATCCCCACCCCTAAATTCCCCTCCTGTCTAAGACGGAAAATGGCTAAGACGCAATTTTTTTCGGGCTCCCTTGCGATCCCGTCTTACATAGGTTTGACTGTAATTACTAGATCTAGATCTATGAGGCCTGTGTACTCAACAGGCTTCGGTCAATCGGGCCAAACCAAGATCTAAGTACGTAAGTATGGATAGCCACTTCAAAGTTTTTTTACCTGACCTTGAAGGAATAAGAGCCTTTGCCAAAAGGTGGGGGTGTTTGATTGAGGACTTTTTAAATCAACCACTACTCATGGAAAAATATGTTTTCTACTGATAACATATAATGCATACGGCAAGGAAATAAGTTGGTCTAGCTGCATGAGCAAGTAGATCAAGTAGATTGAAGTGTGCTCTCTTCATAAAAAGGTAATAGTACTAAAAATAGGGCATAGTCAAAAGTTCATTTAAGTTTCGTTCAACTAATCCAATGCTGAGCGTAGTTTCTTTGCTCAAACTTTCGACTGTCACCCGTCTATATATATAAGACAAGACACATTCCTTGATTTTCAACACATTCTCTTCTGTTGATGCTGTCACTGGACAACCATCACTGTTGTCATCTTCAATGTCCATGAATCTGCTTTGAGGTTTTTTTATACCAAAATTTTATCACAGCATAGGATGGGCTATCAGTTCCATATACGGCATGCATCCCTGTAAAAATATCCTGTAGTTGCTTGCATTGCAAGAAGAAAAACTTCATTACTGTTCTGTGCTCAATTCTCTCCATTTTTATGTTGAAACTGGAGAACAACATATACATTCACTTCTAGTGCGTTGGTGTTAAAACCAGTTATCAGAAATTCCCCATAATTTATCTGCATTCTAGGAAGATAGTTGTTGGCTTTTACCCCAAATTTCAGCTTTCCTCCTTTATTTCTTCACAGTCAGGTAAAAATACTTTTGGTATGCCCCTCATAGGCCTATCCTTCTTAGTCTGGGTTGGTCCTGACATTATCAGGCAGGATTCAAAGCCAGCCTCCTAACCTAAACTTAATTGATCTTAGATATTATGGGGGCGTAGAGTTGAGTTAGTAATGTTTCTACCTTAAAAAAAAAGAATGCAACTTTTGTTTCTTCAGGTGATTGTCACGGTAGAACCAGGACTGAAAGCTCAGAGCAATGGCAGTCCTCACCTTGCGGTGCTGCAAGGCAGTGTTCGTGCTTGTTTTCATGGTGCTAATTTTTTCACAACAATGTGAAGGTAAATTTTATGAAGCATTTTGTCTTTGCTTTTACTTTGAATTTATCATATTACTGCTCTTCTGTATACTTTTTTTCTTCTAGTCACTTCGGTCTCTTTTCACTGTTGCTAAAATAATATAATACCAGTAATAATAATAATAGTACATGTGTATGCACTTTTACTAAATGTGTCACGACGTGGTGGAATCAGGCGTTAGTCAATTTTTGGGCATGTGGAGTTGTATCATCTTGAAGCTTATTCATTTGTGTAACTTTTGATTGAAAAAATTACCTCCACCTATCTTGAATAGATATTGAGATATTTATGATTGAAGGAGGCGGGGGTCTCCTAGTTTCAGAGGTAAAATTGGCGAAAAAATGGCCGCCAAAGGTTGGCGACTTCCATAACTCGAGAGACCTTTAAAACTGAAAATTTACCTTTTTTGTGCCTTTAATCAATGGTTTTCAGAAAAATCAACTGAGAAATGTGGTTTTTGATTGACAGAAAAGGTGTTGAGCCAAAAAAAGAACATTCGAAATTGTCAAATGGCCAGAAAAATGCTGTTTTCTTTGATTTCATTATTTTAACGAGCGTCTGATTGCATCACGATGCCTCACTAATGTATTTTGTTTCCTGTTCTAACGGCAAATTGTAGTCCTCTGTACAAACGATCACTTCTTACTTCCCGCTTTCCATTTTCAGTTGCCTTTTTAGATCACTGTTGATCTGAAATTTTGTTGATTGGGTGTAAAAGCACATACATTAAAACAAAATATATTTGATTCAAGAACTCTGTCAAAGATGTCCACCTGTTTTGGGAAGACCTCTTCTTTCCTTGACAATGGGTGGCACGTCTTGGAGATTTTGACTGTATTTGAACTGTATTGACCTCTGTCAGCAGGCCAGCCGACACTGTCCGGGGGTCGCGAGGTGTGGCATGAGGAAGAACTCATCAAGCATCTCCTGAACGGCTATGTCAAAGAAGCTCGGCCGGTCCTGAAGCCCGAGGATACGGTGGAGGTTTCCGTCAAGTTCTCCTTTGTTCGTGTGGAAGACCTGGTTGGTTGAAGTTAAATAATGTATAATAATATAATTAACAGTATTTGATATTCTCATAAAGCATTGAACTTGGATGAAACACTGCTGTCTCTTAGTACTTTACCGTTAAACAAGGTCAGCGCCAGGCAGCGCAATCACCGGGCTGCTCTGAGCGACAAGTCAGCTACTGGTGATACACACAGAAACAGTGCTAAACCAGCATGGAAAAGCTCTCGGCGTGAGAAGGGAGCCAATGACACCCCCAACCAGAAGAAGTGTTCCCTCAACCTCTTGCAACTCAACATCTATGGTTTGAGGAACAAGAAAACAGAACTCCTCAAAGTACTGAAGGACAGGCAGATTCATGTTGCCCTCCATCAAGAAACCCTACACAAAGGTACGGACATGAACCTCACAGGATACACCAGTTACGCCTGCACTTGCACAGGATGCCGCGGTGTAGTCATTTACCTGCGAAACGATGTTCAGGGAGATGTCGCACACTTATCATCTGCCCAACCGACAGATATCCAGAAGGCCACCATATGGCATATTGGTAGGAAGTACACACTTTTCAATGTTTACAGCCCTCCACAGACAACATGCGACTTGTCTGATCTGCAAGCAGCCTACTATAAGAAAACCATTTGTGCAGGTGACTTCAATGGCCACTCTCCTGAATGGGGCTATATCAAATATAACGGCACAGGCCGAAAGATTGAGGAGCTGTACGAAACCAGCAACCTATCTTTGTTACAAGATGTCAACTTAACTGGCAGACAGGTAAACGGCAACCTCTTGTGGCCTCGTCCAGAGTACATCTGGACCCAGTCTCGCGTTGTTCTCCATAAGTGGGCCTCGATGTGCTTCCTCCCGCGGGCACTCATACAGTGCGTGCTGCAGGTCGTCAGGACTTGTGCCACACGCCAGATAGGAATCATTGGGAGCGGAGCCTATTGCATGGGTTCCTGTCTGAATCCAGGGGTTGATTGGCGTTTGGCCCGGAGCTGTACTTGTTCTGGGGTCTGCAGCACCGCGTAGAGGTCCCAATAATGACTGCAAAACTCAACTCAACTCCTACCTTACTTCACAGAGCCCACTTGACTCTCAGCCGGCCTGATCTCACCATCTGCTCATCCGACATTGAAAACTCCTGTCGCATCGAAATGATTGATGACATAGGAAGTGATCACAGGCTTATCTTTATACAGATCACCTCCCCACCTGCATTGAACCACCTTCAGAGGACTCGATGGAACTTTAAGAAAGCCAACTGGGCAGAATACGAAAAGACCTCGGACGAAGTGCTTTCTAGCATAGCAGAAACAGAAGATGCTGATCTTTTTAATGAACAAGTCACGAAAAATATTCTTCAAGTTGCATCTCAGCACATTCCTTGGGGATGGCGAAAAAATTTCAAACCCTTTTGGAGGGAAGAAATCCAGACTGTTGTGGCAGAAAAAGAGAAAGCCAGACGGTCATTGGAAAAATCACCATCACCAATTAACAAAACACTACAACAAGACCTGTGCTCAGGTGAAAGTGACAGTTAAAAAAGCCAAAAAAGAGAAATGGACTCAAACCTGCAAAGATCTTGACCTCCGCCACAATGGAACAAAAGTTTGGTCCTTTGTCAGCAACCTCTCGGGAGAAAGACAAAAAAGCAACCCCAAACCCTTTTTCCTTTCAGTCAGCACCATCACTGAAGACCAGAAGAAAGCCGAACATTTTAACCGGTTTGTAGCCTCTATAAACAGGGCAGGCAGACTAACCGAGGCTGATAGACTCCTCATAAATAAGGCTAAGCATAAAGAAAAAGCTCCTACTGTGAACAACTCCCTTTTTGAAGAGGATTATAGCATGGTGGGACTCAGTCAGGCCCTCAAAAAGCTAAGGGAAAAGAAAGCACCAGGACCAGATAAAATACACAACGAAATACTGTGCAACTTTGGTGCTAAAGGAAAAGAAGTTCTCTTTTCCCTGATAAATACCACTTGGAGAACGAGTGGAATACCAAAGGCATGGTGGATCGCCCAGATTATATCGCTCCTGAAAAATGGGAAACCACCTGGAGAAGCGGAAAGCTACCGACCTATCTCGTTAACATCATGTATCGGTAAGCTTGCGGAAAGAATGATAAACAACCGCCTCTACTGGTACCTGGAAAATACTAACAGCTTAAACCCACACCAAGCAGGCTTCAGAAAAGGCAGCAACACAGAAGATCAACTTTTTAAACAGAGTCAAAACATCCAGAATGGATTTCAGGAAACACACTGTTGCCATCTTCATAGATCTCCAACTGGTGTACGACAGTGTGGAGAAAAGGCCTACTCATGGAATTGATGGACCTTTGTATACATGGAAAACTTTACTAATAGATCAAGTTCTTTCTGTCGGATCGAAACATTGAAACCAAGGTAAACAATGCCCACTCGTCAAGAGAAGTACTTGAGGAAGGCCTACCCCAAAGTTCCTGTCTGAGTTGCACTTTGTTCCTGATCTTCTTTAATGATGTAACGAACGTGCTAAAATCAGAAAAGACTCTTTATGCCGATGATCTTGCTCTTGGGCAGACACCTCACAGCTCGATAGCAGGAGCAGGGGAATTAAATGAAGACCTCAAGAGGCTGCACAATTACTGTGAGAAATGGAAACTTAAAATAAACTGCACGAAAACAGTATACACCATCTTCTCGAAGAGCCATAAAGCAGCCAAAGAAAATCTCAAACTAAATATAGGAAATGAAAGTCTCCCCAAAGAAGAACATCCAACTTACCTAGGAGCCAAACTTGACCATAGTCTAACCATGAAAAGCCAAGTGGAGAACATAAGGAACAAGGCAAAAAAAAGACTCCAACTTTTAAAGAGACTCGCAAGCAGTTCATGGGGATCAGACAAACAAACTCTGAGAGGTCTATGTCTTGGTTATGTCCGATCTTCCCTGGAATACAGCAATAGCCTACTCACTATGTGCAGTACAACTACTTGCAACACCCTTGACAAGGTCCAAAACAATGCCCTACGTTTTAGAAATGGTGGCATGAGATCCACACCTACCGCCGCGTGCGAAATCCTTTCAAATGTTGAACCCCTGGGAATCCGCAGAGATAAAGCAGTTTTGGAGCTACACGAAAGAACTAAAAGAATGTGCCCCAACCACCCAAACAGGAAATTAGTAAAAACATGGAAACCAAAGAAATGAATTCAACAAAAGTCAATCATGCATCACATCACAGAACTAATGGAGAGTCACCATCTACCACAAAACAGAAAAGAAACCAAAACAGTCAACCAAAACATCCCTCCCTTCCTTTCATTAAAAAAGCCAATCATTACAACACCTCTCAGAGACAAAAGCACAAAATCTTCAGACCCAGCGACGCTGATACTTGCATCACATCAAACAATCGACAGCTATTCAGATGACTGGATACATGTCTACACGGACGGCTCAGCATTCAAAGGCCCAACCAAAGCCAGATATGGAATACTAATATAGTACCCAGATGGAAGTTCCAACGAGATCTCTGCAGCCTGTGGAGAGAACTGTAGCAACTACGATGCAGAAATGATGGCAATTGAAACAGCACTGTACCATCTCCGCAGTTTTTGACACTCGTCCTGGAAAAGCACAAAGTATTGTGATTTTCACTGACTCACTATCAGTCTTACAAGCCATAGAAAATGACCATCATCTAAACCAAGATTTGACCCATATACTATTTGGATCCCATCATCTGATAACATTCTGTGGCATCAACCTAGTAATGCAGTGGGTCCCCAGACACTCAAACAAACCTGGAAACGACAGAGCAGACACACTTGCCAAACGGGGATCTAGACAGGAACAACCCAACATTCCAACTTCATACAACACTGCAAAACAAATCATTAAAAGCAACAACAAACAAGATTGGATGAACTGATGGGCTCTGGGAAAGACAGGCAGAGCAGTTTTCAAACATATGACCACAACAAAAAGAAATGACAATATCAACCACATACAGAGAAAGAAACAGACCACGATCTTCCGCCTACGAACAGAACATATACAGCTCAACTTCCACCTGAACAGAATAAACCCGGAACTTCCCCCAATGTGTCCGTTGTGTGACTATACTTATGAGACTGTGGATCATCACCTGTTCCACTGCACAGCCCTAAATGACATCAGAGCTACCCTTCTCCCTCCGAGACCTAACTTTAACAACACACTCTATGGAACATTACAGCAACTGCAGCAAACCTGCACTTGTCACTACATGGCATTGGACAGAAGGGTGAGAGCCCAGCTGTTGCTGGATCGATAACAACAACAACTTAGTACTTTACAAATACTATAGCAATGCATATGTGGTACATTATGTTTTAATTCAAAATCTCTCTCTCTCTCTCTCTCTCTCTCTCTCTCTTTCAATACATCTATACATATAATATACTAGCTGGGCCCCCTTTCGATGAAAGGAATGATCGGTGCATTAACATCAACTGAAAGTCTTTGGCTTACTATAGGCTATTTACACTCTACTGGAAAGGAGCAATAAATCATGAGAGATGCAAAAAATTATAAGGTCTAGATCTAGATCTATACTCTCAAAACAAAATGCACCTCGCAAAATATCACTTCCGCACCAGATTTTCTAAAATTGCAGAGACAGAAGCGTCGGCCTACAAAAGCGATCGGCGAAATAAAGAAATTTAGCTTTTTGTAGCAAAACTGTTTCAAAACGGAAAAAACGAAGGGCGGCATGATCTGGAGAATATTTTAAAGAATCTTTTGACGAAAACCGCATGTCGATCGATGCAGCCATTAAAAAGCCTTTTGAATAGCAAAATTCGGCCACCACAAATAGATAATAGATAATCTAAAAACAGAAACAAATTTAGCAGGAATTTGAATTGATTAATTACAAGATTTTGATTCTATTAAACTACTAAAATTAACTACTGGTGTCGCTTGATGTGCAAGACTCAAAAAGATTTTATGATGTGTGCCAATGTTTGAGGGAAAAAATGGTTGTGTCAGCTGCCCATGATAGAGCAATATGGCGTGATGAAAAGTGGCTTTTGGGTAACTTTTAAAATTCTTTCCTGTGAAGTGGTGTAGGTAGTCTAGTGGCTAAGCTACCGGACTCATAATGGTTAGGTTGTGTGTGACGTCAGTAGTCTAGTGGTTAGGCTACCGGACACGAAATCGTGGGGTTGCGGGTTTGGGTCTTAGAGCCTCTGGCCTGACATTATGTCTTTAGGAGAGACTTTTCATATGAATTTTCCTCACTTCACGCAGGTTGGAATGGGTACCGAGCCACAGGCAATGAAAGACCTTGTTAGTTTGGTAGCGTTTTATTGCCTGTAAAATGGCTGTTTGCACTGTACTCTTCCCAGGAAGGTGAGATTGTTTCAGAGTGCACAGAGCTTGCTGTTGGGCTGGAATTTGAGCTATTCTTCTTCTTCTTCTCCTCCTCCTCCTCCTCCTGCCCCTCCTCCTCTACTTCACTTCACCATTGCACGCAGAAGACCCAAGTTTTTGGTTGTAGCAAGTGGGAAAATTATTTTTTCAAGTATCTCGGTTTTTCTGCGGGGATATTGTTACCCTCTCAGCCCAATTTGGCAGAGTCAGAAGGAAGACCACCTCGTAAAAGATATGTTGATGGGGGGGGGGTGTAAAAATAAAAAAATTTCTACATTAAAATAGAAATTTGCTACAGTGTATTACAGTATTTTAAATTCACCATACACGCAGAATGCATTCTGCACTGATCAGATGCTCTCCCCAAAAGTACGAGGAGTTAAAACAAGAAATTATGAAATCTGTTTGCAACTTTTATGAGGAATACAATGTCTTTTGGTAGAGCTTCTTGCGAGAACTTTTTTTGGGACATAGGAAAAGAGATTGTCTTACTTCTATATCGTCTGTTTGTTTACAGGATGAGGCCACAGATACGTTCGCTTCATCGGTCTTCATTGTACAGGTACGTCATGTAGACATGTTCTACAGTCATTATTAAAACACAGTATATGCTGTTTTTACGATTTTACTGGAGAGCCAAAAAAACTGAATGTTGTTACCAAGAAAACAAACTCCTTGTAAACATAACAATCAATATTGTAAAGAATACAATTTTGATAAAAACTTGCTTATTATCTTTAAAGAAAATGGTTTCTTGGTAACAACATTCCATTTTTTGTTCTCCTGTTAAATTGTAAAAACCGCATTATATACTGTACCAGAGCTTGAATTAGGTGTTCAGGAGGGCAAGCAAAAATTGCCTCGATGGGGCCTAAAAATCAGAGGGCACCGAGACAATTTGCTAGGGCACCAAGGCAAAAATTATAGGTGATCATTTTGTTGATTGAAGCTGGTAATACTGGATCGTGCATCACAGCTTTTATAAATAACAATAATATTTATTCTTGCTCTCTACAAAAGTATAGGGTTATCGGAAATTTAAAAAAAAATCATAAATGAAACATAAGTAAATCACAGTAAAATCACACCAAAACAAAATCACAAAAAATCAGTTTTAATAAAATAATGATCACGATTGCATCTGACTTTTGAATGCCTTTATAGCCAGATTATCTAGCTCTTATTTATTGGATTAAGATGAATGAGTATGACTGTTTACAATAGGGTACGATAGAAAACAGTAAATAATATGACCAATTAGGTAAGACTTTTAATATGACCAATTAGGTAAGACTTTAATCATTTGAGATTCAAACAGAGTGGTTTACAGGCAGTGTAGTAATAAAATAAAAACAAATCGTGAGTAACTGAAAACAAATTTTGAACTTGTATAAAAAAGAAAAAATAAGAAGTGAAAACAACTTATGAACTTGTGTATGGAAAAAAAAAGAATGAATGACTAAAAATTGGTGTCAAGCAGTTAAACAGTGTGAGGTTCTGACTATGATGATAAGTGAAAATAAGTTTTGAAAACACAAGTTTTAAAGTACATGTATGTTATATAAAAAAGAACTAAACAATCAGCATGTCATATTATGACTTATGACTAGATCAGAATATAGAAAATATGTTGGCACACCCATATACAAAAAGACTGGCTTACTGTTTGTCCCTTATGGGGAAAAAACAAGTGATTTTAAAAAGTATCACCAGAAAAGATGATTTCAGAGAAAAGTGCTGTTTTATCAGGACATCTAGTTGTGAGACACATCTCTTGCCACATCTCTCACATCTGCAGCATTCTTTTTCACCCAGAGATTTTTTCAGACACTGCTGCTGAGGTTTGGTTATCATTGCTGCGAGTGTGTTGCACTAGCCATGACAAAATGGACATAATTATCAAGCTGAACAGTGTCAGACTAAAGCTTTGATGAGATTTCAGACAAGTCTGACAGGATTTCTCCATACCCCCTGCCCTCCCACGTATGTTCATGTATCTTAAAAATTAAAAAAATCAATAATTCCCCCCATTCTGGAGTCCCATACTTTGCGGTGTTCAGACTTTGAATGAACTTTGGTGACCCCAACAACCAGTGCTCACACAATGCCATATCTTATGATTAAGTAGTGATACCAACGTTCAGGGTCATTGACCTGCCACGGTGGCGAACCCGACAAGACGCGCTTGTATAACTTTCTTTTCTTTTTTTTTTTCCACAAGTGACAGCACAGGACAAATAGTGATTTATTTTCATGGTGGCGCATTTTTAAAAACAAAAAAACAAGGGCACGGCAAAAATTGCTGCGGTTGCCCCTTTGATTTTAAGGGCATTACGGCAAATTGCAAAGGCACTGGGGCAAATTGCTGCGGTGCCGCATTCTATTTCAAGCCCTGCTGTACGTTTAGAAATGGTGGCAGTATTGTGCACATCAGGAATTAGGACATTTCATCATCAAGCTCTTTAAGCCCTGAAAGCAAAATTTTCCAGGAGAGAAAAAAAACCTGTTTCTTTCTGTTAATGTTTTTACCTATGTTATGTATCTTTTTAGAGTTTGAGGGATGGAAATAAAGACTAGCATGCTTGCACCCCTGTTTTTATTTTTACCCATACATAGCAACCAACCAGTTCATAAAAACACAGCCAATATGTTTTTGAGAGTCTGAGTTCAGAAGTCCGTTTTTGTGCCCATGAAATACATTTGCTGAAGGAAAAATGTGAAGTTTCAAGACCAGATTTGCAAATAATATTGAAAGCAAAGCCTACAAGTCAAGAGATTTTTTTCTGCAGGTCTACTTTCAATAGCTTGAATTTGTTGAATGCAGTAAAGTGTGTATGTGAAAGGTTTAGAGGGGAGTTCCTTGGCCACTATCTTGACCCGCCATGTGGATAGAATCTGTTTTATTTTTATTTTAAAAATTTGGCAGCTATACTGCTTTGGTAGTCTCTGTATCTATCTTCTTGTCATAAAGTTGTTGAGCAACGTTTTTGTTTTTGTTATGATGTGAAAATTTGTGTCAGGACGTGATTGAATCCGGTGCTCGTCAATCTTTGGGTGTTTGGAGTTATTGGTATCATGTTAAATCCTGTTGATTTGCCTTGCTTTTAAAAAAAAAATTTCATCTATCTTGAAAAGAAGGCCAGGTATTTGTGATAAAAGGAGGTGAAAATCGTTTGGTGTCAGAGGTAAAATAAGCCCCGAAATGAGCACTTAAGTTTGGTGAGTTTCAAAGCTTCAGTGTCAATGGAGAGTGCTAATCTACATTTTTGTGCCTTTGCTCATTGTTTTTGAGCCCAAAACAAGAAAATTCAATTAAAATTTCCCAATGGGTTGAAAAATGTCAGTTTCTTTGATTTCATGATTTTGATGAGCGCCTGGTTTCACCAAGATGCCTCACATTTGTTTACCATACATTCCCAGGTGTGGACAGATCCACGACTGAAGTGGGACCTCTCCAAGTACGGCGGTGTACACACTGTCCGGTTGCCTGCCAGTAAAATCTGGATACCAGATCTGGTGCTGTATAATGTGTGAGTTCTTTGATTTCATGTACGAATCCAGTCGTAAGATGTTATTAGATATTGCGACTGTTGCAAAGAAGACGAGTGACTCCAATGTGATAAATGTTTGTAAATCAAAGTATATTCATATCTCAATCTGTCAATTTTGACCGATGTGTTGTGTAGGGTTGTTTGGGTTTTTGTTTTTGTTTTGTTTCTGGGGTTTTTTTTTGGGGGGGGAGATTGTTTGTTATTTGTGCTATCATACTAATAAGGATGGACGATAAAGGAGATGAAATGGGAGTTTACTTTAAATTATAGTTTTTCTATTTTTGTTTTCATCGTACCCCGCTATTGAGCTTGAAACCTAAAGGTCATGGGTTCAAATCCCATAGAAGGCCCCGATGTGGTGTCTTAAAAAAATTTAGTTTACAAAAAGTTTCTGCTTTCTACACAGGAGGGAATGTGAGAAAGATTTTGTCAGTTTGTTATGGTATGGGCATGTGTTATCCGCAGCTTGCACTGTGACTGTATGCTTCTAGGAAAGCCAAGAATGTTTCTGAGTGTTCTTGGGTGTGATATGGTAATACTATAGATTGTAAAGTTGATAACTTGGTTATTTGGTGAGAGAATAAGTATAGGTACCGCAAACTGGCCGTGCGCCCCCATGGCACACTGTCACGGAGACCAAAACTCCTAAAACACTGTGTGATCATGCATACACACAGACACTTGATATATCAGAAGAAAGAGGAGCTTTTCTACTTTTTAGTGGTATTATTTATTTGAATCAATGATTCTTTTGAAATCAAAATCTTGTGGGATAAAAGACAACACTATCAAGGTTTTCACAGTAGCGGCCGCGCGTTTCGTATATTGTATTTTAGAGTGACCTCGGTTGAACAGGAACAGGGAGCGTATGGTATTAAATACTGCAATCTGATTCGTCGATATTTCAAGATGAGAAGACGCTCTTTCGGGTGATATATTTCTAAAGACTGTCCTTAAAGAATTAATAGAAGAGATTTGCGTGTGAAAAGTTTTGGTGCTATTTTTTTAATAGAACCAGGGATCAGACTGACTACGGAAATATGTCGGCAGAAAGCCCATTCATTCCTCTTCAAGAATAACAGTGCCATTATACGCAAATAAACACCGGACGCTCCCCGTCGGCTTGCAAGCAGGGCACCATCGCCCCGATTTCGTATAAATTCTCTCTCCTTCCAGGGCTCCTTTCTGCCGTTCCCTGTTGCAGTGCTGTGGCCGCCTGGAATCCCATAAACATGGTTACAATAGTACATAGATAACCTTCTATTATCAAAGATCGTTCATAAGAAGGTAGCTCTAGTAAACTCGACCTAAAACGTGTCCGCAGAAGTCCGTGCATTGGTTCAGATGGTGCTGCAGTCTTTGTTTTAAAGCTCTTTCGTTTCTCCAGAAGAATAATAAGAATAGCACAGTTTGTTAGTTTCGCTTTTATTGTTTTTCACACAAGTAGGGTAACTCCGTTAGAAAAGTCTGCACTTTTTCGAAGAGGGCGACACCGGATTTTCAGTGTCAACATGGACACGTGACTCAGCCTTGTTGTGATTAGCTGCAAACCACCCGATCGCGTGATTCGCAGGCCTGAAAACAAACGCGCTTGTTTTTGTAGGTCACTGACCGAGTCGATCGGTTTGTGCCACGATGGCCGCTTTGCGTCTTAAATTTGGCTAGTCCTGGCCACCCGACCCGATCCCGTATGTGGGCACCCCCTATAATAATCGTCACTTTCCTCTACTTCTTTTGTATGTTTGTCACTATCGTGTGAACTGCTTTTTTTGTCGTGCCTTGATAGTTGAAGCAGACTTTATGCTGTTGAGGCTAGAGAGGTGAGCAGAGTAAGCCTGATTCCCCCATTGGACTTCTCTTTTGACATCCATCCCTTGGCGCTCATGTGACGTTATACAGTTGCAAGTGCTGTAAAAACCTTACTAAAACTAAAAATCTCTTCATGACGTGTTCTGATCTGAAATGGATAAATATTGTTTTGGTGGGTGGTTGGCAGGTGCTCTGGTGTGGTTCGCTCCTTCTTTCCTATCAAACATCTATCATCTTTATCTCTCCTCCTTCTTTTTTTGTTTGTTACTCTCTTGCAACACCTAATCTTCGACACTTATATGACCTTATTGTGTTGCAAAACTAAAACTAAACTAAAATATTGTTTTGGTTGTGTCCAGGGCCCATCGAGAACCACCGAGCTCGCTGTACGAGGAAACTGTGACCGTAACCTCTGACGGCAGCGTGGTGTGGGTCCCCATGCTCACTCTGTACAGCACCTGTCCCATGGATCTGAGTAACTTCCCTTACGATGTGCAGACGTGCCGCATCGTTTTCGGCTCATGGATGCACACTAGCTGGGAGATGAACGTCACGGTGGGTGAAGAACTCTATAGGTTTAAATGCTCCTGTCAATACTATTTGTGAGGTGTGCTGACAAAATGGGTTACTTCTGGCAATCTATGAAAGGAGAGATTGACAAAAGTTTGACACAGGGGTAAAGTTTGTGAATTTTCAACTGATGGCGGTTTCTCTAAGTTTATCATGTCTTATTTCATACTTATATATTGTGTAAACTCCGGCAATAAGTTTGACGTATTATCTCTATTTGCGTTGGGCTAAAATTGAGAAGTAGCTTGCGTCTGGTCATCTTGTCATGTTTCAGTTTCGTCTGTTTTCACGTTTCAGTTTTGTGTCTATTCACATTGTAGTTTCGTCTTGTCCCGTTTCAGTTTCTGGTCCGATGACGTTTCGGTCAACTTTGTGTCTTTTTACATTTTAGTTTAGTGTCTATTCACATTTCAGTTTTGTCTTGTCCTGTTTCAGTTTATCTCCAAGGAGAAAGCTGAGATGGATGTTGTCCTGAGCGAGGAAGACTCCTCCTACCTGGTCCACCAACACCCACAGTGGGAGCTGGTCGGGAACCGGGCCAAAGCCAGGCTGACCTTGAAGAAGTACGACTGCTGCCAGCAGCCTTTCACCCTCATCACCATCTCGGTGCAGCTTCGGCGAAGGTCGCAGTTCTACCGCTATCTGACTTTGGGGCCGGCAGCTGTGCTGGGTATACTGGTGCCTGTGGTGTTTTTGGTGCCTGCGAGGAGTCAGGATAAGACTACTTTTGGTGAGGTTTTGGATGGGTGTGGGTGGGTGGGTGGAATATGAGCACTAAATGTCAATCTGTGACTGATAGAAAAGGGAGTCAAATTGGTAAGAAAAATTATTTTGCTCCACTGAGTCTCAAGAGAGTCTCACGTTTTGGCAGTTGCTCATATGGGTGTTAGGACATGGTGGATATGGTGGTGTCTGTGTGTTTGGAATAGGGGGGGACGCTAGGGATGGTTATGAATGTGTGGATGTAGGACGTTGTGTGTGGGTTATGCCTATAAGTTTGATGGTACAGTGACTTTGCCTTCTCTCTGATATAGGAAGATGCCACACATATGTGGCACGACGTGGCGGAATTAGGCGCTCATCAATTTTTGGGCATCTGGGGTTGTTGGTATCATCTTAAAGCCTGTTCTTTTGACTTGCTTTTGGTGAAAAAATATCCGTCTATGTTGAATAGAAGTTGAGATATTTGAAACTGAAGCAGGGGAGGGTGGCCTGGTTTCAGAGGTAAAATAAATGAGAAAATGGCCTCTAAAGTATGGTAACTTCTATTATAGCTTGAGAGTTCTTGCACGGCTGTTCCACTCAGGATCACCTAGTTGCTGGCCGACCTGACCTCTGAGACGAGGTCACGCCCCGGTCACGCTACCTGCGGGCGCTCGGCTTCACGGTCAGTGGCTCCCCCGCGATGTTGAGTTTTGTACACATAAAGACCAGTTCGTATGAAAGCCAAGAAAGTCAATGAAACAACAACCAAATGATCACATGAAGACGAAGGTGTAGTTTATGACAGTATAATTTTTATCACGGAGAAGTAAAAGAAAGTGTAGTTTAATTTAAAAGAGGGGGAATGTTGCGTTCATCATAGATTGGTTATTACAAACAAACATGGTTTTTTTTAAATAATAAAAAATAAACGGACCGACGGATTTTTACAGTCTTCATTGTCTGCTCACAGTCAGACTTTGAACTTTCAAACACACTTACGTTTATGAGGTGCGGCCAAAAAGTCTTGCTGCTGTTGTTGATTAATGCACACAGTCTTGTCAATGAGTGGGAAAACAGTTGAGTCCAGCCATGGAGTGTGGCCTTCAAATCTGAAGATGTCTGTAGTCAGTGTGCTTCCAACACAGCTATAAGTTGTTGTTGTTTTTTTTATGCCTACTGTTCTCTTTTCTACTCTGGCGATTGTGGCATGGAGCACCCCCCCCCCCCTTTTTTCACCCAGCATGCTAAGACCAAAGCCCCAGGCTTTCATAAATGGCAGGCAATGGCGCTCTAGCATGTGTATTTTTGGTGTCACTGTGTGAGGAAATAACTTGCAGAATAGTTTTAGATATGAACCGATGTCTGCGCTAATGGAAATGTGTTCTGACGGGAGTACAGAAGAAGCATCTGGGGTGGGGGTATCCGTTATGCTCGCGGGGGACGGAGAAGGCAACTCGTGTCCTTCCGTAAGCAAAGGAATGCGCTCTTTAATGCATCCTTTGCTAAGTTGAACACAGCGAGCACACACAGAGCACTCGTTAATTCTTATGCTTGCGTCGTAAGGGGACCAAACATAGGCACTGTCTTCTATGCATTTATTCTGTGCGGCCTTCAAAGCCGCATTTGTAATTTGCTTCTGTAGTGTGTATATTCGCGAGCCACATTTCCTGCATAGAGTGTTGGAATGCTTGTCGGCTGTGTCGTTGTCAATGTTCAGTCTATAATATTGTAAAAAGTCAGACTTAAAGTTTTTACACAAAAATTGACGCTGCTTAGAAACTTTAGTTTTTAAACTTCTTCCACTACAAGTACGACACAACTTGTTTAAATTCTCAAAGTGGATGTTATAAGAGTGTTCCATCTTTGATGTTTAAAGGCTCTATTATTATAAACACACAAGAAAGTCAGACGTTCCCGCTTCACAGAGTTTTTCTTTGTACCGAGGGTTGCGCTAGACTAGTCACATAAAGTGCGCTAGTTCATGGAAATTTAGCTCGGACCCTGAGATTTTTCACCACAATGGAGAGAATAGATTTATAAAAAGAAATATGAAGGTTAAAACAAAAATTGTCGGTTCGGATTATTAAAATCCGCTTTTAAATTAAAAAAAATCAATAACACAGAGCTGTACAACAGTGGTAGTATATAGGTATCCCAAGGGAATATAAAACGAGATAGAAACTGGTTTCAAACTGCGGGTTATAGAGGAGATGCTGAGCTTTTATTTGGTATATAACACTCCTAGGTTTACGGGATGGAGAAAGGGAGTACTATGCTGTAAATTCCTGTTAATTTCTTGAAATTGTACCCTTTCCGCGCGGATCAGTCAGATCTAGGGATAGGCCGGTGGAAGTGTCGTAACGCGTAGAGATTTATTACCGTCCGCCAGGGGTCAGAATGGTCAGACGGGCTACAACTAATTGCGCCTCTCGGAGAGTGAAACTGAACAGCCGTGCTTGGAAAAATTTCACATTTTTTAAAATCAATGTTTTTCAGTAAAGTCCACTCAGAAAATGTGTTTTTAAATTCACATAAAAGGTGTTGATAAAAAGTAAAGTAAATAAATAATAAATTGCACAACGACCAGAAAAATGCCGGTTTCTTCAATTTCATTATTTTGACGAGCGCCTGATTTCACCATGACACCTCACATATATATGATGTCATCAGATATCATTGTCATTATCATTATAAGGAACCACAATCTTTTTCTACTCTCCTCCACCCCCCGTCCCTCCCCATCTTCCCTCTCAATGTTGACTGCTTCAAAAAGTGTGTTTACTTTGGAGCAATGGTGTTTGGAGGATGCTCTGATGTTGTTTGCGCTTTATTTCCTATCAAACATCTTTCATCCTCATCTTTGCTCTTTCTTTTGTTAGTATGTTATTCTGTAATAGTTTCTCTATCTTTGGCCCTTATATGACATGTTTGTGTTTCAAGCGCTGTAAACTGTTCTTACCCCCCGCGGCGGTGCTACTGACTGAAGTGTCTTTGTTTTCTTCTGTGCTTGAGCTTGTGGCTTGTTACATCTTCGCTTCCCCACCTCTTTGTGGGTTGTGGATAGATGCTCTGGTATGGTTTGCTCTTTCTTTTATATCAAACATCTATAATACCCCCTGGGGCAGTGCCACTGACTGAAGTGTCTTTTGGCCATTCCCAAAGGGGGGACATTAACATCTCGAGTTCTGGATGAAAATAGTCTCTGTGTGTTTTGTGTGTGTGTGTGTGTGTGTGCATTAATGTATATTGCATGAGAAGAAAGTAAGTAGTAAGAAAGGTTTTTTTGAAAAATGGGTATTCCAATGTAAAGCGCATTGAGCTACTTTTTTTGGAAATGCGCTATATAAATGTTATATATTATTATTATTATTTATTATTATTATTATGCACAGTAGAACTGCACTTGTAAATGGGCTGACTCATCAGTGTTATGCTCGTAACTGGGCCTGAACTGCAACAGGGAACTGCTGCTTTTTCTTTCCTTATCTTTACTATCGTCATTTTCCTCTACTTCTTTAGTATGTTTGTCATACCCTTGTGACACGCTATTTCCAGGGCGCCTTGATAGTCGAAGCTGACTTTGTGCTGTTGAAGTTAGAGAGGTGAACAGAGTAAGCTTAATTCCCTCTGTAAGGACTTCTCTGTTGACATCCAGCCTTTGGCGCTCATATGACCTTATGCAGTTGCCAGCTCCGTAAAACCTCTACTGTTAACAAACTGTTACTAAAACTAAACTAAACATCATTCGTCTTTATCTTTCCTCTTGCTTTTGTTTGTATTTTTCTCTCTAATAATACCTCTCTCTTTGAGCCTTATTTGACTTGTTTGTGTTGCAAGTGCTGTATAATTCTTACTGAAGCTAAAAACTAAAACATTCCCACTTTCTCCCCCCCCACAGGACTACTTCTGTTGCTGACACTTACAGTTCTCATGTCCATCTTGCAGCAAGCCGTGCCTTTTAACCATGGATCTATGCCCAGAATATGTAAGTTGTATGTGGGTAGTTAGCTGGTGCTCGGGTGTGGTTTGCTTCTTTTTTCCGGTCAAATATATATCGTCCTTTTTTCCCCTCCTTCTTTTTTATGTTTGTTACTCTCTTGTAACACCTCTAATCTTCAGCACTTATATATGACCTTATTGTGTTGCAAATTCTGTAAAACTCTTACTAAAACTAAACTAAAACTAAGTTGTTTGCCTTTTAACCATAGATCAATGCCCAGAGTGTGTCAATTAGGTGTCATTTACTGTACACCAGAGGGTGCGGTGGCGAAGCGGTTAGTGTGCTCGTCTCTGAAGCGGAAAGTCCGGGTTCGAGCCTCGGTTCGGACATGGATTTTTTTCGCCGTCTCCTGCCCACCCAGCAGTAATGGGTACCTGACTTCGAGTTGGGGAAGTAAAGGTGGCGTGGAAAGGAACTGGCCACCCTATCACAATATGCCGAAGGCCCAGGAAGTTGTCTCACTAGCAAGGCAATCCCCAATGTCTGGATCGGATGTGGGAACAACTTAACTTTTACTTTACTGTACACCAGAGATTTTTCGCACATTCTTTATTTTTTTGCTATGCTCATTTTGTTTCTGCAAACTACTTGAATCTTCAAATTTCTTTTAAAATCATGAAAATCACAAATTTTAATACTGCAACAGTGACTCAAGGCCCCAAACATATATGTTGGAAACTTAATTACTTTGGTGGCCATTGTCTCACTAATTTGATCTCTGACATAGGCAACCCCCTCCTCCTTCAGTCACAAATATTTGCTAGACTTTTATTCCATTGATGGTTATTTTAATCACCAAAAGTAAGACAAATGAACATGTTTTAAAGTGATATAGATCACTCTGTTTGCCCGAAAATTGTCGAGCACCTGATTTCATTATGCTGTGATACATATGTGTGTGTTCCTGGAGAAAGGTACCAAAAGTCGCAACAGACCCTTTTCAGCTACAGGCTGATAATGACAAAAAAATCACTGTTTTGATCAAAATGTGTTTCCATTAAAAAAATGATTGTTCCGCCATGTTTTAACAATGCGTTAAAAGAAATTTCCTGTAAGGTACAACCGTTAACTCAAAATGGCCAAAATCCGACTTATGGTACCTTTCTTCAGGCACACAAGGTGTGCGCCTAGAGAAAGGTACCAGAAGTCGCCCCAGACCATTTCGAGCTTCAGGCTGGTAAAGACAAACAATTTTTTGGGACCAAAATGTGTTTCCAAAAAAAAAAAAAGATTGTTCCAAAATTGTTTTTACAATATGCTCAAAAGGTTTTAATTGATTTGACTTCTAAATGCTTTATTTTGAATTATTTTGAGGGAAGGGTATTATAAAAACAAATAATGAAAACTGCTTTTAGAAGGTGTTAAAATCTATTGTTGAAGCATGTTTTCTCTTCCCTGCTATGTTTTACCATTGTATTCCATTCATGATATCGATGTCAACTGAATGCCAAATTGGAAATAAATTTCCTATGAATAAATACATTCAAAAATTCATTTTTTAAAGTTTGTATGTGTTCTCACGTTTGTTAAACTTAAAAAAGCTCATTTTCTCAAAATTATATTTTTATACCCTATCTCTCAAAATGTGCAATATCTCAAAAACTACTTGGGATATCTAAGAAATTTACTTTGCTTTATTTGACTTTTCCGATCCAGCAGCCATTTGGGTTCTAGCCCTTCGGTCTGTCAATATGGCAAAGAATTTACAGGTTTTAATCAGCTGTGCTTTGTCACTGTATAGAGTATTTCCAATGTCTGGGGAGGCAGGTAGGTAGGTGCTACGCAGGTCGCAAAGTGCTGGGCAGTTAAAGAGGTGGTGTGGTACTGTTTCATCCTGGCAGTCGCACAATGGGCAGTCAGGTGGGGTATCCTTGCGGATCCTATTAATGTAGGAATTTAGTGGTATGTGTTGTGTTCGCAGGCGAAAGATCGTGACTTGTTCTCTTCTACTCAGGGAATTTATTGCATCTTTAGAGTTTGGGGGCTGTCATGTGTGCATATACAGTTCTTCCAGTTTGAAATTTAAAAAACCCTGTGTTCAGCAATGAATTTCCTATAAGGTACAACCCTTAACTCGAAATGGCCAAAATCCGACTTTTGGTACCTTTCTTTAGGCACACACAAATATAATTGTCTCATCATGCTTGTTTTTCCTGTCCAAATTCTCACCACAGCTTCTGCGAAATAATTGTCTCTCCTGACAGGTTCGTTTTACCTTGGCACCATGATCCTCACGTCGATAAGCGTGGTGGCCTCGGTCATTGTGGCTAACATCTGTGTGCGGGGAGCTCGCCGGAAACCTGTCCCAGCTTGGGCACATTCGGTGAGTGGTAAGAGAACGTAAACCTCTTTGTTGCCTGATAACGTCTCTGGTGCATCACGAAAATGTGTTTTTTCTATTTTTGTGCGACACCATAGCCATCATGGATGTGGGCAAAATTTGCAGTGCCTGGTTGCCAGTGAGATGTTACAAGTACGTCGCACTACTTGGCTGACTCTAATTCTTCTATTCGTAGATTTTACCCCTAGAACGGTGTGGGTTTGTGTTTATGAATTAGAAATCCGAACATTCGTACCAAGTTTGGTAGTATTACTTTACCGCTAGACTTGCAAGCCATCGATAAACACGGGTCTAGTCTTGCAGGCACAAAACGTGAACACTAGAATGACTAAGAAATGGTGGCAAATTTTACATTTTGACTTGGATTTGCTAGTTGTTTGAAAGTATGGGGATATTGGGGAATATGGAGATGAGGACGGTGACGCCATTGCAGACCTATAAGTGGGCCAGGTGAAGACAGCGAATCCTGTGACCTGGAGACTGCCAGAGGGTGTGTGTTTCTACTGTCAACACCAATTTTCTGCTAAGTTCTTTATCCTGAACAGCAGTGCTGACAAAATGCCTTTTTCTTATTCACAGCAGTTTCGAGACAAAAATTTGTTTGGTCAGCGTAATCAGTTTAAAAAAGGTGTTCTTCCAAAATTGGAAGGTGCATCTTTGATAGTTTTGAGAGGGTGTAAAAATGGAAAAATTCTCAAAGTTTGGGCTTAAACAGATTGCCTGTGTCTTGAGACTTTTCATGGTGGACTTTGTTCAACACTATCCTTTGCCAGTAAATTTTTAAATGTGAGGACATGTGTGGGACTGGGAGTTGTGTGTGTGTGTGTGTGTATGTCTTTTGCATTGCACAGCGCTTACAGCCTTCTAGAGATTAGTCGCTATATAAATTTCCATTAGTGTTAAAATTTTTGATGCTCTTGTTTCAGTTGTTCCTGGGTAGAGGAAGTCTGCGGAGATTTCTTTGCATCGGAGACTTCGGCCCAGTCAGAAACCTGTACAGCAGCGACATCTCGGCCAATGCCGCGGCCAGCGGCATCCATCTTGCTGATCTGTCAAGGGGGGAGGGGAACGAGCCGACCTTACAGGAAGTGGAGGGGGAGGGGCTCTGGTGGGTCACCGACCAGCTGTTGAACAACTCGGCAGACGGTTCGTCGGAGTCCCCCGCCACCTCAGGGTCGGCGGAAGACAAGAAGTGGTCGCAGCTCGCCTGCTACGTCAAGTTCATCGTAGGCAAAATGGCCGCCGACTCGGCGTACGAGAACGCCAACCAGGAATGGGAGGAGCTAGGCCGAGTGATTGACAGGTTGTTGTTCATCGCCTTCTTTGCGCTGTATGTCTTTACAGCCGCAGCATTATTATAGCTGATTATTATTTCCGTGTATATAATCAAAGGCCTGGTACTTAGAGACAAAATGTAACTCTAATCCAGGAATAGTATCCCCATTATCTCGATGGAGGCATCAGCGGGGTGAAATGAACACGTCGGATAATGTAACATTTTTGTATCATCGTGGTGATCGTAGGCATTTATCCAAATAATGAAATTGAAGAAACTGACATTTTTCCGCCCATTGGGCAATTTTTATCAAATGTTGGGGGGGGGGGGGGGGATCTCAACACCTTCCATGTCCATTTACAAACACTGATGAAAAGCACTGTAATTGTAAATTTGCAGCTTTCAAGGACACTTGAGCTTTGGGAATTACTTGAGTTTGGCGACCATTTTCTTGCCGATTTTTACCTCTGACATCAGGTGACCCCCACCAAGGTGTTGTATCCCTCTCCTTTTGCCAAAATGTGTGGTCCACACCCACACTAAAATTTATTTTGATGTCAAGTGGGGGGGGGGGGGGGGGGTTGCAAAATATCTTCTCAAGGGCCATGATTTTGAGACTCCTGCTGTAAAAGATTAATTTTAAACTCTTGAAGTCTACTTTCTACTTTGCTACTAATGTTGTGTTGTACGATGAGTCTCCCCCCCCTCCCCCATTTATGCTATGAGAATGTGATGTTTTATTTCGGATGGTGAGTTACCAGATTTTTTTGCCCCTCAAGCAGTGTGGACCAATCCTCTAGTCGCCAAATAATCTGAAGTGTGCCCCGCACAGCAGAAGTTCGAACCCAGGGAGTGGTCTCCTAGTGTGAGGATCTGCATCTTTGTCTCAGCTATGTAATAACTCATTCACTACGGCAGAGCCTTTTCTGTTTATTAAGAGTTTTACAGCACTCGCAACTACATAAGGTCATATGTGAGGCAGCATGGTGAAATCAGGTGCTCGTCAAAATACAGAAATTGGAGAAACATGCAATTTTCCACCAGTTTGCAAATTTTTATCGAATTTTTATTTTTTGGCTCAACCTCTTTTAAAGTCCATATAAACCATATTTCCTTGTGAATCTTACTAGAAAACATTGATTAAAGGCACAAAAATTTTCATTTTTCTGTTTTCAAGGACTCTTTAGCTATTGGAGTTACCGAACTCTGGCGGGCATTTTCCCGCTAATTTCAACATTGAAACCAGGCGACTTCACGTCCTTCAATCGCAAATATCTTGAAGTCTATTTAAGATACATGGATATTTATTTCATATGAAGCAAGGCAAATAAATCAGCTTTGGATAATACCAATAACTCCACATGACCAAAAATTGACAAACGCCTGATTCCACCGTGTCGTGACACATATGAACGAGCAGGACTCACCCCCCAGGGAGGTGCTACAGACTGAAGTGTCTTTAGACCATTCCCAAAGGGGGGACATTAACATGTTCTTATGCACAGTAGAATTGTAATTGTAAATAGGCTGGTTCTTCAATGTCATGCTCATAACTGCAGGAACTGCAACAGGGAACTGCTGCTTTTTCTTTCCTAATCCTTACTATCGTCATTTCCTCTACTTCTTTTGTATGGTTGTCTCACTCTTGTGACCTGCTATTCCCAGGGTGCCTTGATAGTCGAAACAGGTTGCAGGTGCTGCAACCGGATTTGACACTATACAGGAAAAGGATTCACGTCCAGGACCAGGCTCGTTTTCTCGGCATTATATTTGACAAAAAACTCACATTCATACCACACATCAAAGACTTTCTGTGAGGTGCCAGATAGCGTTAAACGCTTTGAAAATTCTATTGCATCCAGAGTGGGGCGGGGACTCAAAACACCTCCGCTTGTACATTTCCCTTGTCCGGTCCAGGCTTGACTACGGCTGTCAAGTCTACCGATCAGCAAAACCACACATCCTGAAAATGCTAGACCCAGTACAAAACCAAGTACCCCGCCTCGCTCTGTGGGCTTTCCACACTTCCCCGGTGGAGAGCCTCCAGGCCGAAGCAAAACATACCACCACTCTCACTCAGACGCACACAACTCTCACTACAATACGCAATTAAACAAAGCTCAACACCAGAGAACCTAGCACACAACTGCATTTTTAAAACAAACCCAGAAACCATAAACAAATTCCAAAACAACGAAAAATTCATCAATCCCTTTGACCTCAAAATCCTTGAGAACCTCAAAAACTTACACTTTCCCAAACAAGACATCCAACAATTTCTTTTCCCTGACCTCCCTCCGTGGCACCTCACCAAGGCAAAAGTAGACTTAAAACTGACCACACATGACAAAGAAAGTACAAACACCAAAACATTAAAAGCAGAATACGAAAAACTTGTAGAAAAATACCCCGGTGCTGAGCTTATCTTCACAGATGGCTCCAAAAAAGACGTGGGCGCCGCAGCCCTATCTTCAAACAGTACACACCTGAGGAGACTCCATCCCGAAGCCTCCATTTTCTCTGCGGAGGCCACTGCCATTGACATGGCACTGGACTCCTTAGAAAATTCTCCTAACAAATCTTTCCTTATCCTTTCTGACTCTCTGTCTTACATCACCTCACTCTCAAACTACACACTCCTACGCCCAAAAATAGTTAGGCCATGACTGAAAATTCACACCTTTTCTGAAACAAGAAAAAATGTCATGGTCGCATGGATACCTAGCCACGTGGGCATCCGAGGAAACGAGCAGGTAGATGACCTGGCGAAGAAATCCTTATCCCTTCTGTTGAGGACAACAACGAACATTCTCCCACAGACTGACTTTAAAAATAAACTAAAAAAGTACACCTCCATTCTGTGGGAGAGCCACTGGAAAAAACAGACGGGTAACAAACTCCACAATATTAACCCAAACTGGGACCGGGAAATCCTTCGAACCTCTCCAGAAGAGACAAAGTCATTTTTACTCGATTACGCATCAGACACATGGCCCTAACACACAAATATCTCCTTCCGGGAGATGAGAAGCCGTTCTGTGTCGGATACGACACTGATTTTACCATTAGACACATTTTAACCGAATGTCTAGACTTTGAAGAGAGATCCGAAGGAAATACTTTAAATGCAAAAATTTGCAAGACATTTTTTCCATCGTTGGTCCCAACAGAATTTTGGAGTTTATGAAGGCAGTGACCTGTATGGAAAATTTTAGAACTAAATTGAATTATAAAAAATTTTTATGAAAGTTGTTTTAAATTGAGAATATAGATTTACTCCAAATTTTAAATATTTTAACTTTTTAAGATCAAATGAACCGTACCCAGCCGTACAGTGAACTGCGAATAAAAAACTAACATGTGTTTCGCGCGCTCATATGACCTTATGCAGTTGCGAGCACCGTAAAACCCCATACTAAACTAAAAAAAAACTAAAGCAGACTTTGTGCTGTTGAAGCTAGAGAGGTGAGTCCCTGTAAGGACTTCTCTGTTGACAGCCACCCCTTGGTGCTCATATGACCTTATGCAGTTGTGAGTACCGCAAAACCTACTAAAACGAATCATCAGGACTTATGCTGGTTGTTTTCACGTTAGTTCGCAGCACAGCTTAGTTTTACTTTGCAAAGTCAGAATGGTTTAAGTTTCTTAAATAAAAGATTTTAAAGCAGAAATGTACATTTTTGGGGGGTAAAGAAATTACATCCGGGAGGGTAGAAAATTTTGTAGAGAATGAGATAATTGTATTTGTGACATCATGACATATCCTCGTGGGTCTTGCTGTTGGTCTACGGGTCTGTTGGGCATACTTCAGGTCTGACTGTGTCAGGTATGCAAGTCTTTTGTGTTTTCTGTTTACAGTTGTGGATTTTAAACTTTATACGAGAACCTGAGATATTATGTATATTATTGTATAACATTTTCACAATTTTAATTGATATATAAAAAGACGTGTATAGTTCTTTTGTATTGATTTTGCATTTAATGCATACTGATACTTGCCTCCACATATATATATATATATATAAGATAAAAGATACGTATGTATGACTGCTTATCAAATCTGCCAACCACTCTAAACATAGGAGCTCTTCAAATTTTTTTCACTTATATTAATTTTTTGTTGTTGTTGTGAAAGAACCCCAATCAGATTATCCTAAAATTAAATTTTTGCTTGAATTCTGTTTTGATCCTGTCTTGTGCAACGTATTGTAAATGATGTGAAAATACAAATTTCTACTTGTCTTTTATTTGCATGACTTTTCACAAATAATGTGAACATACACATTTGTAGCAACATATTTGTTTCTTTTTCATGTAATAACAATAGAAACATCTATTTACCGCGGTCAGTTTGTTACATAATCTCCTATTTTTTGTGAGGGTTTTGAGGACAATTCTTATTATTGGTTGCAGTGGTTGACAGGTCTGGTTACTCTTTTCAGTGTTGTTCTTCGATGTTTTTATTGTCACACTGTGTGTTATAGAAGGAGCTTCAAGTAAAACTTTAAGACTTTCCAAAGCCTTAGAAAGCTGTGCTCAAGGGTGAGAAAGTTTGTGAATCAAGAGGGACTCTTGTCCTATGTATAAAAAGTTTGTCAGCGGTGGGGTATTGTGGTGAAATCAGGTGCTCATCAAAATAATGAAATTGAAGAAACCAGCGTTTTTATGCCCGTTGTCGCCAAACTTGGAAGAGCTTTTTCTCACCTATTTTACCTCTGACAACCCCCACCTGCTTCAACCCCAAATGTCTCCATTTCTTTTCAAAATAGATGGATATTTTATTTTTATGAAAATGTGACAAGTGAACAGACCTTACGCTGGTACCAATACCTCCGTATTCCCAAAAGTTGAGGAGTGCCTGAAAGAAGTGCGATGTGACACTAGTTATTTTTCTACATCTTCTGTCTGACAATTCTATTATGAGAGCATATTGAGCGCTTGAAACTTAAGGGGCAGTGTGTATCCCACTTAAGTGTACGATTTCTGAGAATGTATATATTTTTTACCACTGCTTTTTTGCAATGTGTAAAGTCTGACGGACTGAATTTGTGAATCATTTTTATTCAGTAATCAAGAAATTCATAATATTTAAGTCGCTAAGTGTTGTAAATTTTTACAGTTGCTGCAAGTTGTGGAATCATTATCAATATGATATATAGATATTATTATATATATAATATACATCCACCATGACAAATTGTAATTTGTATCCGATTTTAAGAAAGCAATGTTGAGGGGAGTGTGAGTGAAGGGTAGGGACAGCGCTGACTTCAGTGTGTGAGCCAGATGTGTGTGTATTTTGTCTCACCAACT